GCAGCCGGTAGGGTGGGGAGCATGAAGAGGCCGAAGAAGAGGATCTCAGCCTGGGGATGCGGTCAGTGGGAGCCCGGGGAGCGCGGAGGGAGGGCCCGCCGGGCCGGGGCCGGCGATGGGTGGGGTACCGCGGGGAGGGGGTGGGGAGATGCTGGGGCGGGAAGGCCTCCACAGCTACCAGGTCGGTGGCCAGGACAGAGGCGGTGACTGGGGGTTCTAGGGACGCCCGGGAGCCTGGTTAGGACGGGGGGGGGGGGAGGCGGCGGGAGGCGGCTCCCCCGCATCCCCAGGCCGCGCCGGGAGCGCAGGTGCGCGGTGGCCCCCTCCAGGCCCCGCTCCTCGTCCAGGCCCTCCCAGGCAAACCCGTGGGGTCCGCTCACCTGCTGGGGGCGGGGGGCGCAGCGCCCCTCCTCCTCCTCCTCCGCCTCCACCTCGCAGCCCAGGACCCCAGCTCTGCGCGCGCTGCGCGCCACGACGCAGGGCAAGAGGCACCGTCGCCATCGCCATCGCCGCCTCCGCGCGTCCCGGGAGCCTCGGGGAGACACGGCGCGGGGCGCAGTCACGGCCCCCGCCCCCCACCCCGCAGCCCCCCGACGGCGAGCGCAGCTAGTTGCGGGTCCTGAAGGGCAGCGTCTGGGCCGAGGCTGACGTACGGCGGGGGTTGCGGGTTGCGGGGAGGGGGGGAGCGGGGCCGGCGGCCTTGGCTCCCGGTGGAATGGGGCTCAGCAGGGCTGGCCCACTGGGGTCCACCCCGGGCTGCTCAGCCCGCCCGCCCCGGTCCCTGGCTTTCAAGTGACACATGGGCTGGGGTGGGTTTTTTCCCGGCCTGCCGCCATCGCCATGTCACATTGCCAAGTTCGCGATGACGGATGGACACAGAACTCCGTCCCTCCGTGTCCAAAGCTGGGTGACCGCGACCTGGCCGCTTCCTAGCGGCCTCCCGGGGCTCTCAGAGGACGGCATCTACGCCCAGCTGCGGGAGGCTGAGCGCTGAGGATCGCACAGCGGAGCCGCCGGCCTGCGCAGGAACGTCCCCGGGAGACTCTGGTCTCCAAGGAACCCCTCAGAAAACCGGAAGTGGGGCTGTGACTCAAAGTGACAGCAGTGGCCTTGATCCGAAGAGCTCGGGGGCAGTGTGCCCGGGCCCCGAGTTCAAGCCCCGTGACGAGAGAGGTAATGGATTTCATTCCCATGAAATGCTTAGTGGGGTCACGGCTACTGCTTCACCCCTTTGAACCTCGGCTCCCCTTCCAGGCTTTTGGGGTGGTTTATTGGAGGTTATAGTTGTGAGCCACCAGCACTCAGTTTAAGTACTCTTGTCTCCAAAGCAGGAAGTGGTGCTGTGGCTCAAATGGTAGAGTGCTAGACTTAAAGCACAAAAAGGCTCAGGGACAGCACCCAGGCCCAGAGTTCAAAGCCCCAGGACTGTAAAAAAAATAAAAACATTCTAGGAAATCTTGCAAGTAATTTCCAGGTCTATCATGCTACTCCCCCAAACACTTAAAATGTAGCAATTATAATATGTGTTGTCAATTTTGATAACCTTGCGCTGAGAAATAATCAGCAGGAAAAAAACCACAATAGCATTTACTGGAGCTAGCAGATGGAAATTAGGTATGCTTCCTCATTCCGTATATATAATCTACTGCTAGTCAATAGCTCATTTCGAAGTATCAGTCCACATCAGAGATTACAATAGAGAAAAGATTACAGTCTGCAATCCAGTTACACCTGTGGGAGAAATAGCTTCTTGAGGGGAAGGACTCACATATTGCATAGAAATACAGAAGAGGAAATCAGGACTCATCATAGATCCAGAACCACATATGACCATTTATAAAGATGATACCATAATGGATATAAGTGGATATAAAATCAGTGAATAAAGTCAGCAAATAGTAGTAAACTGGATAGAACACTGTCTTAGTAGTAAAAATCTGCAATCAAGGTGTGATAACAAATGTTAAAACATGGATGACTGTCTATCTGCAGTGACACCAGCATTCCAATGTAAACTACAGTTCCAATGCAAATTGAGATATGTCCCTTTTGAGGAAAACATACAAGGCCATATAAAAATACTTAGGTTCTTGATCTCAAGTTCCCACTCACTCCTTGATATTGTCCCAACAAAAGTTTTCAAATGTGGGCTGGGAAGGTGGCTCAGTGGTAGAGCGCTTGCCTTGCATGCTGGAGGCCCTGGGTTTGATTCCTCAGCACCACATAAGCAAAAAGAAAAAAGCCTGAAGTGGTGCTATGCGCCCAGGCCCAGAGTGCAGGCCCCACAACCAGACCCCCCCCCCAAAAAAGAAAGTTTTCAAATGTTGACGGTAAAAAATGTGACTGCAGTGTAATTTGTAGTAAAGAAAATAACTTCAATGTTCCACAATGAGAAAATATTCAACAACATTAAAATTATGTAATTTTTTCCCTCAATAAAACATAGTTCTAGCCAGGCACTTGTGACTTAAGCCTATAATCCTAGCTATTCAGGAGGCTGAGATCTGAGGATCACAGTTCAAAGCCAGCCCAGGTAGGAAAAGTCCATGAGATTCATTTCCAATAAACTACAGAATGCCAGAAGTTGCACTGTGGCTCAAGTGGTAGAGCTCTTGCCTTGAGCTGAGGGACAGGGGCTGGGCCCAGAGTTCAAGCCTCATGACCACCACCACCACCAACCTCCCCCACCCCAACAAAAACATAGTTCTCACTTGTCTTTTCTAACCATACAAATCACCCTAATTGGCTCTTATAGAGGCTGGCAATGCCAAGTATTTCAAATATTTGAGAACAGCATTTTTAGGGCTATGTACAGCATATATTTATACATAAACTTTGTCACTCACATTAACAGCTGAATGTATCTGCCTCCAAAACTGAGAAACATTTGCCTGTCTTTTCAAAGGATCCATCTAGAACCTAAAGAACAGATCTTAACAATATAGTCCTTTTATGACCATCTTTATCCTAATATATGAATTGGGGGGGGGGTCATAGGGCTTGAACTCTCCTCAACTCAAGGCCAGCACTCTACCACTTAATCCACAGCATCACTTCCAGTTTCCTGTGTTTATTGAGATGAGCCTCTCAAGACTTTCCTGCCCTGGCTGGCTTTGAACTGTGATCCTCAGATCTCAGCCTCCTGAGTTGCTAGGATTACAGGTGTGAGTCACCGGCGCCCAGCTTTGCATCAGATTTTTAAGAACTGCCTTACACAGTATTTGCTACTCAACCCTATCTTCTCCCCTGTCATTCCAGAGGCCAGCTATAAAGAACTTGGTTAAATATTTTGCATAATTCTGACACATCAGGTAATAATACCCACACTGGCATCAGAACTTCTTGGGACATGTGAGGCACTAGGATTAAAGAACCAGCTTCTAGGTGTGGAGTGGAATTCATCATGGAGCTTTAAAAAGATGTTGGCCTGAGCCCACTAAGGGACATGACTGAGGCACATCTAGTATCCTGTTTTTTATGTATGTGTGCCAGCACTAGGGCTTAAATTCAGGGCTTTCATTCTCTCACTTGGCTTTCATGCTCACTTTTCATACTCATCATGGCTGTCATTCTACTACTTGCACCTTATCTCCTCCCTGACATTTTGCTAGATAGCTGGAGATAAAGTCTGACTTTTCTGACTGGGCTGGCTTCAAACTGTGATCCTCTAGGTTATCAGCCTCTTCAATAGCTAGTTACAGGTGTGGACCTCCACTGGGGCCCAGCTACCTTAGCTGTTAAAGTTCCCACTTAGGGAATCAATGCTGTTTCATCAAGCTTCTAGAAAGAGCTGAAATAGTGTATAATGCAAGGCCTTACTACTCAGTGGCATCTTAGAAGCAGGCATTGATACCATGAGTTGGGACGACAAAAGTAAGAATTCACATCTAAACACACTCCCTTCCTAATTCTCAGGTCAAGTCCTATTTGTGCTATATCCACTGTGGCCAATGAGAACTTGAACCACACCTAGGGAGACTGAAAAACCAAAATCCTTATTGAACTAAACATAGTCAAATGTGGGGCTAGTAGCTCCTCCAAGTAGCCAGGCAGAACTGATCTAGGTAGTTTACTTTGGTCAGAGGAAAAGAATTTACAGATCCCAATCTAGGACTAGAAGAGGAATTCCCAGAGTCCCGGCCTACAGAACTGTCTTCTCCTCTTAATGAAGACAAAAGCCAAGGGTTAAAAACAATCCATTTATTGGGTTTTAAACTAATTACACAATTGAAATAATCAGTTTGGCACTACTCTATACAGGGATTATGCCTGTGTCTGCTGCCACGCCAATACTGTACCAGAACCCTGCTGTGCTTACACTGGGTCATTTAGCAGGTAGATACTAAAAATATACTGTAGTGTTCCTCTAAGGAAGACTGTACAGGGAAGATGACATTCACCAAGTTGTGAATTATTTCAACCTAGAAGATACCTCATACTCTATAAACCTGTCAGAGGCAAACTTGTTAGCATGTAGAGATGCACACACAAAAGTTACATAAAAATTCAGACATTCTAATGATAAATGAACTCAAAAGCCACAAGTCAGCTTCTGTAACACAAAAATAACTTAAAAACACAAAAAATGGCATTCAATGGGTATGAAAATTCCACACCACTATAATAAAGAGCTACATGTGAATCTTTACAAATTAATTGTACAATGGTGTGTGTAAAGGCTGCATCTGTACAAAGTCTGGCAATGCTAGCTCTACATTTGTACAATCTTTTACAGCTATGTAACATATATTAAACAAGTCAATTCAATACCAAACCTTATTAGTCTCTCAACGGTTCTGCAGGCAGAGATAAAGATAGAAATAGAGAAAAAGAGAGAAAAGGAGAAGAGAGGGGGAAAAGAGAACACAAGAGAAAGAAGGGGGGAATCACAGAATAACCACAAATACAGCAATCTTCCATTTAGGTGAAGTATAACAGCTTTCAAATGAGGTCAAACAATGCTTATAAAGAAAATAGGTAAAAACCAACCAGTCAGGGTGTTTCTTGTTGTTGTTGTTTATTTTTAAAATTACATGTTGTATACACACATAACAATCAATCAAAAATCTTATTCACCAAACCCATGGTTTTTCAGTTAACTGGCTCTATTCAGCACCAAAAACTCCAGTCTGTGGGAGGCACACAGACTTCTGTGGCTTGGTTGAGCAATCCATCAGGCATCACTTAGTTTCAAGACTTGCCCTCCTCTTCTCTTTTCCTTTCTTCTTCATGGCTCTCCAGACCCAAGGCTCTCAAGGCTTCAGATTCATGCCCACTGCCCTACTACCATCTAAACCCAACAGCCATTTGGGAAGAATTAAAATAATTTGAGATGAATGAAATGGTAAGATCTGTATTACTGATGGGTAGTCTCCATTCCAAGTAAATTATTTCTTAATGAGTTCCTAGACTTTGCTTGGTCTTGGATGACATGATCATACTGGGTAATTATTTCTACTATGAGACTTTGTCAGATGCCTCAAAGAAAAAGTGATCAATACTCTGGAAACATTCCAGACAAGTTAAGAAATCAATGGCAGCTGAGAACCTGTGGAACGCAGACTAATGAGACGATACACAAAATCATCAAAGTGATGCGTGCTTAACAGAGGCAGAGTTTGGAAGCCTGCAGAGCCACCACAGATGGTACCTGAGGATTTGGAATTTTTGATGAAACGAGCCCAAGCGAAGACTAGTCATCTGTATAAGGGAAGAAAAAATTCCAATTAGCTAGCAAGACACCTGACTCTCAAACACTCAACAATGAGATTTTCTTTATTTTACCGGGCCTTTTATTTATTTATTTTTTTTGTACTGGTGCTAGGGCTTGAACCCAGTGCCTCATTCTCTGCTTGGTTTTTCTGATTCATGTCTGGCACTCTACCACATGAGCCATGCCTCCAGTTCAGGCTCCTTATTAGCTACACCTGGCTAAGAATCTTGTGGATATGTCTGCCTGGGCTGGCTTCAAACCTCATTCCTCATATCTCAGTCTCTTGAGTAACTAGGATTATAGGCGTAAGCCACTAGCACACAACTTGGCCTCTTCCTTTTCTTTTTTGTTGTTCATGGGGCTTGAAACTCAGGGCCTGGGAACTGTCCCCGAGCTCTTTTGCTCAAGGTTAGTGCTCTACACTTTAAGCCGTAGCACTACTTCCAGTTTTCTGGTAGTTAACTGGAGATGAGAGTCTCATGGACTTTCCTGCCTAGGCTGGTTTTGAATCAGTCTCCTGAGTAGCTAGGATTATAGGCAAGAGCCACCAGTGCCCAGCTCCTCTTTCTTTATAGAGCAAGTATGTAAGAATCCAAATGAAATGTTTTCATAACTATGTTGAACAGAGAGGCTTCAGGAAAACTCAGAAGGCAGCTAAGATTATGATTTCTTTTACTCAACTGTTCCCAATCTACTAAAGCTACTCATTTGGCCTTCAGCCATACCTGAATGTGCCTGATCTCATCTTTTCCTCATTGATAAAGGTGAACATAGTCATATCAATTCTCTGCTTAACACCACAAGGAAGCATGAAACAATTGTATGACAACTTAATTCTACTGTCCATAGCAAAAGCCATGATTACTGACTGAGACAGTTTTGCTATGTAACCCGGAGTGGCCTCAAACTCATGATCCTATGCCTCAGCTTCTAGGATTACAAGCATTCTCTTATATAGCTGGCTTCCATGTATGTATGCATATTTATTGATTTTGGTGCTGAAGCATGTGCTCTACTGTTGAAACAGAACTCTAATCCCCAAAGCCATCTTTAAAAAACAGAAAGTAGGGCTGGGAAGGTGGCTCAGTGGTAGAGCGCTTGCCTTGCATGCCAGAGGCCCTGGGTTCGATTCCTCAGCACCACATAAGCAAAAAGAAAAAAGCCAGAAGTGGTGCTATGGCTCAAGTGGTAGAGCACTAGCCTTGAGCTGAAGAGCTGAGGGACAGCGCCCAGGCCCAGAGTTCAGGCCCCATGACCGGACCCAAAAAAAAAAAAACAGAAAGTAATTCCCTCTACTTTACAGTTCTAAGAATGTCATTAAAAATTAAAAACCAAATTCAGGAAAATGGTGGTTCACACCTGTAATCCCAGCTACTCAGGGGATGGAAATTTGGGTGGCTGCAGTTGAAACCCAGTCTACATAAAGTTATTGAGACCTCCATCTTAACAAATAATCCAGCCATAGTTGTGCATGATCCCAGCTACATGAGAAACATAGGAAGGAGGATTAAGGTCTGTAGCTAGACATTGGAAAAACCCTAAAATTCTATCCAGAAAATTACTATAGCAATGAAGACTCTGGGGAACATGGCTCAAGTAGGGAAGCACCTAACCCAACTCAAGTCTCCGAGCTCAAAACCCAGTGCTGCTACTCTACCCTCTAATTAAGAACTTATAAATATCCATTTTTGTTACCAAATGAATGACATTTCCTGAGGATGGCATATGTTTAAATCCAGAACTTTGCTGCTTACCTTTCTATGCATAATAGCATGGTGACACAAGGAGATCAGTGAGGACAAGAAGCTGGTCATCAGTGAATTGTTGCTTGTGTTCCTGCCAGTTGTCATGGTGTGTCCTTCGGAAATTGGATAAGGTCTTTTTTACAGTCATCTGTGGAATAGGCAACCCACATGTTTTAACCTCTCTGAGCATCCAGGATTATATGGAAGATATCCCTAGCTACAAAATAATCCAAATAGACTTCACATAGATCTCACATAGTAAGTGTTTAGCATGCTACAATCCCAGTAAATCAACCTTACTTCCCCAAACCACCAAGCTTCTGTGGAATTACTAACTCTACAACACTTGTGTGGAATTGGTGGTAAGAACAAAGACATTAGTCTTTCAAATGCTTAACTTGGGAACAGAGGTGATCATTACTAAATAATACAACCATTATTTCCTACTTAATAATAACTTTCTTCTACTGAGATATATTACAGATAAGGGTAGAAAAAGAGAAACAGATTTTAACTGTCCAGACAATATTGGCAATACTATATGTCCATTGGGTTGTGAAGGACAAAAACTACAGTAGTTTTTGTTACCAAAAAAGATTTCAAATATACATAGGAAAAATGTCTCTGCAAGATTTTAGTAATAGTGGTGAACAGTAAATTTAAAGTATATAGGAATTATTAGTACAAATAGCTTCTTAGAAATACTGTATGTGTGAATAAATGAAAAAGGAAGAACTCTACCTCAATAGGCTGAGGATCATTCAAATGTGCACTCAGATTCATAAGGAGCTGGGGCATCCAGGTGGGAACATCATAAGGGCTAGAAAGGACACATGCACCAAGTCCTAGCACCCCAGCATGGCGTTTCACCAACTCTGCAAGAAAAGCAAAGTATGTCGAATATTTATAACTCTCAGGCACTTGTTGTAGGGAAAGATGTTAGGTTTCAATTATTAAATTATACATAATTTATTCCTAATTCTTATTCAATTATGAATTTTCTGCATTTAAAATTTGTCTACAAATACATACCTTACAAACATGTTTTTAGGCTGAACTTAAAATCCCTGTATTTCAGAAATTTTAAGCTAATCTATAGATGTTCCTCAATAATAGAACAATTATTTTTAGGCCAAGGAATGGTTTGAACTATTTGTTAAAATTAACAACACAGTGGGCCACGCACAAGGGGCTAATTCCTTTAATCCTGGCAGTACTCTGGAGGCTAATCTGAGGGTAAACGTTCAAAGCCACTGTGGATAGCAAAGTCCATGGGACTTTTATCTGCAATTAACTACAAAAAACCGATGTGGAATTGTGGATCAAGTGGCAGAGTGTTAGCCTTGAGCACAAAAGCTCAGGGACAATGTCCAGGCCCTAGGACTGGCACCAGAAAGAAAGAGAGAAAGAAAAAAACAACCCCAAACAAAAAAGAAAAAAATGGTGGCCCAAAAATGTAGCTCAAGTGGTTGAGCACCTGCCTAGCAGTACTTTGATTTCAGACCTAATACCATGAAAACTAATTTAAAAAGCCAAATCAACCGAAGAAAAAGCCTAAGGCTAGTAGAGTGGCTCAAGTGGTAGAGTGTCTATCTACTTTACAAACACATTGGTCTGAGTTCAAACTGAAGTGCTGCCAAATAAAACACCCACTATTCCTTCTAAATTGAGATTCCAAAGCATGACCCCTAAGTACCAAACAAATCTCCAAAATCATACAGTGTTTTTCTGGATGTAAGTATCCACACAAAGAATAATCAATTGTTGATAAATACTTCCCATGTATGAAAAATGTCTGTTTCTCTCTAAACAGGGAACCGTGACATGTCTAAATTCTAAGGGGTTCTATGTTCCTTCCTTAGTGGTTAAGTTAAAGTACTTTCAAATCCTCATTGGTTTTCTTTTCCTTTTGGCAATGCTTGGGACTTCAACCCAAAGCCTAATACATACTAATCAAGTGCACTATGCACTATCATGTTAGCCACATTTGTAGGCTTTCTCAACTCATAGTTTGTTTAATCAGGGATGGAGGGAGGCAGTACTGAGACCGAGTTCAGGGCAGCTTGTAGACAGGTGTTCTTACTGCTGAGCCACACCTCCAGCCCTATTTTTTGCTGGGTATTTTTGAGATGGGGTCTTGCTTTCTGCCTAGGCATGTACCTGGACACAATCCACATTTTTAGGCTTCCAAAATATTTCATCCTATCTTGGCTGACATCGGGTCATGCTAAATAGCTAGGATTATAGGCATATTTCTTAATAAAGCTGTATGTGCTTATTTATTTGCAGGTATATTAATGCAACATGGAAGATAGGGTGGTGAAGATATGACAAAGACTTTGGGCTAATTTAAAATTGTAAACAATGCCATTTGGTGAAACAAAGATCTAAAAATACTTTAGTATATAATTATGAAAAAGTACAATTTTCAAGCACTGAAACTGCTGGTATTTTATTACATAACTACGACTATAATATAATATTTTAGAAAAACCTCAGGGACAGTACCCAAGCTCCAGGACAGTTGCTGTAAGCACTTGAGCACGCACATAAGTGTCACGCTCTAAGAACTTGTCATAAATTCAATGAATTTCCTATTTACTAAACTTCCCATGTGTTCTCTATATTCTTTGGTGGTCATTAGCAGGAGGTAAAGTCAGCTGCATTTCAGTTTCTCTTTACACATGACCTTACGGATTTTATTTTGCTCTGGTTTCTGTGTGTTCAATTACAATGAAAGCATCTTTTGAGGTTTTGCCTTCCTTGGCTGGCTTTGAACTGTTATTCTCACACCTTAGCCTCCTGAGTAGCTAAGATTCTAAGTGTAAGCCAGTGGCATTTGGCTCCCATCTCATTTTTTAGATTTTACATTCCAGGTCCTGCCTTTTATATGCATACCTTCTCAAAAATAGAGTACTATTCCTAGTACCTTGCAAAGACCTGGGATATGTAAGTAGCCTGAATAATCCCGATTAATTCCCATATCAACATTACCTGCAGAAGGAATGGTATCTCCTACTGAACCAGGATCTCGCTTTCTTTTCTTAGGTAGTTTTGTTTTGCAAAGTTGCTCAAAATGAACCTGCATAGGACTGTCCATGGTAAGGAAGTTACACTGTAATAGACCACTTAAAGTGGTAGCAGCCATTTCACGGACCTGTAGAGAAAATGATATTGATTAGAGCTGAGGGAATAAAGGGATGGGCAGGGTGGGAATTGGAATGGGGTGTTTCCTGACTTAGGCATCATTATGTCTCCAAGTGTTTATGGCCTCAAAATGGATAAACACTACATTGGAGTTAAAGAATGGAAGTTTTAAGTATTTTAAGCAGAATGAAATTTGTTCACAAACTCCTCCAACCACGGCTGCTGGTGTCAAACACAAAGCACAGCCCAAGTGGGCTCTAAACTTTAATCCTCAGCGCTCAGTTCTGAGTAGTTAGGACTGTGTGGTACTAGGATATACAGCGCTTGACACAAAATAGTCTTAATTCATGTTTCATACTGCAGTATTATTTTCTTAGTCTAGATTTAAAGAACTAGGATTACTAAATCTAAAAAGTACAAACATTTTTTTGGGAGGGGGAGTTATTCACTTAATTAAGGATAGATAACAATGTCTTACTGTATTAAGTTTCCATTTCTCTAGTCATTGACAGGTTTGACTTGTCATTATTTACAGCATATTTACAGCATATGTTGTCTATATTCCTTATTACGCTGCTATAAAGTTTAATGAGTTTCTTATGCCCAACATTTTTCTCTACTACAAAGTCTGATCATTTGAAATGTTGTATTTGTAATATTCGTGGAATCAGATTTGTCCATGTTATAGTTATGTAAGTCAGTTAATGACTACATTTCTTTTTGGACAATGTCACCCCTTCCCTCACTCTGATTTTCCCTCCAATCCCTGCCCACAGTTGTATAGTTCATTTTCAACAAAGTATCCAGTGAGTACCACTGCTACATTTGTTCACCCATTGTTATGAAGTACTTTTCTACCTATAACATGAACACTAGATTATTTTCCCTTTTTCCGTCTTGTTTTTGGTGAGCAGCTTCTTCGACATCAGCATTTGCTAGAGTGTTATCCCTATTTGCCAACTTGTTGCTGGCAGCAGTTTCTTCTACTCTTTCACTTTTTTTTTTTAGTCGGTGGTAGGGCTTGAACTCTGGGCCTGGGTGCTGTCTCTCAGCTTTTCAGCTCAAGGCGAGTGCTCTACCACTTGAGCCATGCCACTTCCGATTTTCTGACTGGTTTATTGGAGATAAGAGTCGCATGGACTTTAAAGCCCGGGCTGGTTTTGAACCGTGATCCTCAGCTCTCAGCCTCCTGGGTAGGCGTGAGCCACCAACGCCCGGCTACCCTTTCACTTTTTTGCAAGTTCTTGAAAAGTTGCTTTAGTCTGGGTATAATTTCTCCTTCCCTCATCACGTTTCATTTTTTAGAGGTTTCCTGAGGTGCATGAACATGGGTTGGACCTGCAGTCCAGAAGTTCTGAAGAAGTACTGGCAGGCAACCGGTGCTAAGAAAGGGTACTGCCCACTGATCAGTCTACTGAATGTCCACAAGGTAGGTACTAAATGCTATTATTTGGGATATCTCTGGTGTCCAGTTCACTCTTTCTCTTCTGTTTGTTCTTCCCCTTCAAAACCATTCCTACTCCAAGGATTCCAGGATTGCCGTTCAAATACAATGGCCTTAATCATGGTATATTTACTTTAAAACTATGTTTAATGAAGAAAATTCTAAAATAATCTAATAAAATGTTCTCATAAAGCTCCTAAAAATGCTGAACTTGAGTGAAAATTCAAATCTTATTAGTCCCCCTAATTCCCATGTGTTCATGGTGAGGGCTCCAGCCTGGTGCTATTGAGAGGTCACTAAAGTATGCTCAGAGGGTCAATGGAACGCAAGCCCCTTTTGGCCTCTAAGAAGTGGGTCTGCACTTCCAGGTAAGCCTAACAAGATGCACTGCCTCAATACAAGTCTAAAATCAACTGGTCCAACAGATCATGGACTTCTGTCTCCAAAATTGTGGACCAAATAGGCCTTTACTTTTGAAGAAGGTGCTATCTCAGATATTTATTGTGAGAGAAAGCTATTTAACATATACTATTATACCTGAAGCTAAGAAATAATTCTGTTAGTATTTTTACTTTTCAAACTCCTAGTCTTTCAATTTTGATTAAAAAAAATAAAGTTATTATTTTTCCTGATAATTTTATAATACTCTATGGGGATGTTAATACCACTTTCCTATAGAAGAAACCTACTGTTAGTGCTTAGATATAAAGTATATAAAATATACAAAGTACTCTACTACATGGAAAAGTTTGAAGCCCATAATATTAGAGCTGGGAATGTGGCTTAGTAGTCGAGTGCATGAAGCCCTGTGTTTGATTCCTTAGTACCATATAAACAGAAAAGGCTGGAAGTGGTGCTGTAGGACAAGTAGTACAGAATGCTAGCCTTGAGGAAAAAAGCAGCTCAGGGACAGTGCCCAGGCCCTGAGTCAAGCCCCAGGACGGGCAAAAGAATAAAAATAAAAAATAGTAAAACTTTTATGAAAATTTCATTGTATTTTTACCCAAAGCTAATTTTAAAAGTTTTATCATATTCCACACTTATTACAACATGCTTTTCTCACATTAGACTATTTAAACTATTACATTCTTACATTAGACTATAAAACTGACTAAAAAGACTATTCTTCATACAAAGTATTAATAAAACTGGACACCAATGGATTTGCCTGTAATCCTAGCTACTCAGGAGGCTGAGATGTGAGTTTGAAGCCAACTTGTACCTCTTATTTCCAATTAACCATCAAAAAGCTAGAAGCTTAGGGACAGTGCCCAGCTCTGAGTTCAAGCTCCAGGACTGGTATAATCAATCAATCAATAAACAAACGTCTTATGAATGTGGAAATACTTTTTCAAAGGAAAATGATACTGATATTTTTTGTTGTTGTGGTTGCTCATGGGGCTTGAACTCTGGGCCTGGGCACTGTCCCTCAGCTCTTCAGCTCAAGGCAGGTGGCTCTACTGCTTGAGCCACAGTGCCACTTCCTGTTTTCTGGAGGTTAATGGGAGATAAGAGTCTGGTGGATGTCCCTCCCCAGGCGGGCTGGCTGTGAACCGCCATCTGGCACCAGGCGTGATACCGGTATCTTGTGTTGTAACTTAATTGCTTACCTCAAGCTGTTCGTCCTCCAAAAGGCTTATCACCAGCCACCTGATGCCTCTGACTGCATCTTCATTATTTAGGAAAATAAAGAGGTTATAAAATACCATGGTCTGGAGGTAGGTCAGTACTGTGTATCTCGCATGCCAAGAACTGCTTCTTGCTATCTATGAATGAGAAGTAAGTATAAAAAATGACAACACTGACAAATTTCATGCAAAGCACAGTCCATATAAATAACATATTATTCTAACTTGATTGTGCTTTCATAGGTAGAGTTAGAGTAAGCTTATCTTGGGGTAAAGGAGCAATTTCAGGTGTCAGAAAGTGATTATTAAATAATGAGAAAGAAAAACATGGGTAGCAGTAATTTTAGTGAGAAAGACTTGTCATAATTAATGACCATTAACTTCCCCAGTGATTGTACATTTATTTTTCCTTTTTTTGTGTCTTGAGAGGAAGGTATGTATCAATACTAGGGCTTGAATTCAAGGACTTCAGCTCTCCCTTGGTTTTCCACTTCAAGGCTGGCTCCACAACTGAAGTTATACCTTTACTGAAACTGGACATGCCCCACCTGCTTAAGCACCCTGTCTTCAAGGCACTTGAATAATTAGCTCTTTGTTTATATAGGGAACTTTTGACTTTATGACTTGCTAAAAGTCACAGAGATTGGTTGCAGAACCAAGTATAGAATTTAGGTCTATTTCTTTTGCCAACACACATATATTTTCTTATATTAAAAGAAGACTCAGAACAAAATTTAAAAAAAATCAAACACAGTATATACTGTAGATGGAATTCTCAGAATAATGAGCCAGAATCCTAACGAAAAAATATAAAATTTGTAGCTATACTTACTTGATTTAGCACCTTAAGTACCAAAGGCACTTGATGAGGGTAAAGCAACCCCTGAGACATTAATGACAAACAGAGCTTTGCGTCTCTTTTCAGTTCATCATAGCTATTGTCATTCTCCACTGGGGCAATCTAGGGAACAATTTTTTTAAGGCTAATTGAAAAATAACTGCCAATAAATGCAAAAGCATCCTACATGAAACTATATTTTTACTTTCAACATCATCTGAGGAAATTTTCATATAGATACAACTAGATAATAGTATAATAAATCCTTCAAAATCCATCACCTCTTTAACAATAACAAAGTCATGGATGTTTTATATATTTCTTTCTCTCCGATTCCCCCTTCCTCAACCAAATTATCTAAATCAAAACTCAAACATATCTCATCTACATTTTGCTATATTCTCTATATACACCCAAATCATATCATCATAGAGAAAAGTTCATTAGTTATAATGTACAACATTTGATAACTTCCCCAACTATAGCATTTATGTGTTAATTACAATTAGCTTTTTAGAACTGTTCCAACACATCTATGATTTTTTTTTTTTTGCCAGTCCTGGGGCTTGAACTCAGGGACTGAGCACTGTCCCTGAGCTTCTTTTGCTCAAGGCTAGCTCTAATCACTTGAACCACAGCATCACTTCTGGCTTTTTCTGTGTATGTGGTACTGAGGAATCAAACCCAAGGCTTCATGCATGTTAGGCAAGCACTCTACCACTAAGCCACATTCCCAGCCCTTACCCATGAATTAAAAAATATATATATGATGCTAGGTGCTGGTGGTTCATGCCTGAAATCCCAGCTATTCAGAAGGCTGAGATCTGAGCACCGTGGGTCAAAGCCAGCCCTGGCAGGAAAGTCTATGAGATTCTTATCTCCAAATAACCACCAGAAAATTGGAAGTGGTGCTATGGCTCAAAGTGGTAGAGCACTAGTGGTAGAGCTGAAGGGCTCAGGGACATTGCCCAGGCCCAGAGTTCACAGCCCACGACTAACAACAAAAATAATAATAAAATAAATAAAAATATAGCACTGTAATTCAATGTAGCTACTCTTTCTTTGTGTCCTCTGACTAGTAGGAACTTCCTCGAACTGGCTCCTGAGTCTGTTAACACAGCTTAAGACAGGCATCCTTGATTTGTGGTATGAAACTGATCTTGCATACTTCTTGCTCCAAAACGAAGCAAATGAAATTAGCCATTTCTTGGAGAAGCTCTGGTTGTTTCAGTGGGAAATAATCTTTAGAAACGGATACTCAGGACATTAGGAATATTAAATGATTCAACTCTAAAGTTTTTGCATGAAGAAAACTAGGAAGTAAGCACATCTAAAGATCTTATTTTTATTATCATGAAGTTTTAAATTAAGAATTGCTGGGACTTCATTTAACCAATGGATTTTTATATCCTTTATTTCTCATGTAAAATCTCTTAGTTTTTTACTGATGATTAGTATTTATTCTGCCTTTTATGTCAAGTGTGCAAAATAATGTCAGTACTGTCTCTATTATCTGATGACTTACAAGAGTAGAGAGTTTCCTTTAAAAGAAAAATGGTTACTTCTGTAGCTTTCCTCTCCCCTCCCCCCCCACCAGGGCTGAGGACCCAACCCCGGGTCTTGGGTGCGCCGATGGGCGCCCTTCCGCTGGGCTAAACCCCCAGCCCCGAAAAATGGTTACTTCTGTGTGCCAGCTATGAGATTTGAAACTCAAGGCTTGGGTGCTGTCCCTGAGCTACTCAAGGCTAAAGCTCTATCATGAGCCACAGCTTTACTTTGGCATTTTGGTGGTTATTGAGATAAATCTCATGGATTTTCTTGTCTGGGCTGGGCTTTGAACTATGATGCGTAAGCCAACAATACTTAGCTATGGATACATTTTTAAATGATGGTGAAGTCATTAAAAAAGGCAGTGCGTGCACTGATATGGAAAGACGGCCACAATACACTGGATTAAAAATCAACTTGTGAAAGAATCAATTAATCTTGCTTAAAACAATTGTATGCAAATCGATTTGGAGTATGTGACATAGGTAAAATTATTAAATGATTAATCATTATGATTAATTATTCAAAATGATAAATATGCCACAGTTTAAAATTATAGGCAATGTGTAAATTGTTTTTTTTTAATCATTTAATTTACCAAGAGCAAAATGAGGTGATTTCAAGTTTGGGTAGTAGCAAATATCTTATTTGGGATAGGCTCAAAAATCTCTCTTAAACATTTGATTTTACAGCAACAGAAAATACTCATTGTCAGGCAGGTCTACCATTACAGTCAGAAGAACTTAAGATAACTCACTAACCCTATGTTGAGCTACTACAGTCTTTCTTTCTTTCTTCCTTCCAGTTGTGGGGCCTAAACTCTGGGGCTGGGCACGCTGTCCCTCAGCTCTTCAGCTCAAGGCTAGCACATCCGGCTTCTTTCTTTTTGCTTATGTGGTGCTGAGGAATTGAACCCAGGGCCTCAGCCATGCAAGGCAAGCGCTCTACCACTGAGCCACCTTCCCTGCCCTACTACAGAGTTTCTTTGTTGAGCTAGTCATACTAGTTTGAGCCAGTTACCATTATCAAAAGCATATGTAAATTAATCAATGCACAAAATTTAAGTGTGGTGTATGCACATATGTTTGTGTATGTATGCCATTATCTTTCTTCTAAGTTAAAGATAAGTTTAAAAGAATGAAAATTTCCTACGTATATCAAGTTGGAAGTGTTTTAAAGGAATTTTTAGAATACAAAAAAACTAATCTTAACAGGTTAATATCATACTGCTACTTACATTCTTATATGGTAATAATATTAGTGGGTGTTCAGGGTTGGGGATAATAAACCCTATCCAAACAACGACAAGAGACCAGGAAATACATAATGAAAAAGTAGAACTGTTATTTTCTATAACTTAGATTCCAAAAAGTTACTGATTGCCACTCAATTCTTTTTTAAAATTTACTTTACATGAGTAAGGTAATGAGTATGTTTCTTGTCAAGCATTGTTACCCCTTCCTTTGTCCACTCAAGAATTGAGCATTTGTTTCATTCTTTGAACCATCTAGAAACCTTTTAGATAATTTGTTTCCCACATTTGCTTTCCTACTCAGTTGGTTTTCAATGCTTGCAACCAAGGAATCTTAATAGATTCACTAATAAAACCATCTTTCTTTTGTAACAATGCTATGAGGGGTATTGAAAATAACTGCTGCATAATATGTTAGAAGACAGTTTTAAGAAATCAGTAAGTTCTGGTAAGTCACACAAGAGGAAAATCCAGAAAAGAAACATATCCGTTACAGTGTATTAACAGAGGACTCTTGTATACCCCAAAGCAAGAGTGTGTAAAACTCCTGGTTGGAAAATCTTAGGCAATGTACTATGTACCTCACAACAATGCAGTAAATACAAACTGATTGCCAATTTGCACTTCTGGTTATTTATCTTTCAAAAATACATTTCAAGGATGTCCAAAAAAAAATGTACTCATGACCTGACTTATTTAACTGTAACCCCTCTGTACATCACCTCTATAACAACAAAATTTCATTTCAGTGTTAGAGTGTTAGAGTGCTTGCCTAACGTGCATGAAGCCCTGGGTTCGATTCCTCAGTACCACATACATACAAAGAAAAAGCCGGAAGTGGAGCAGTTGCTCAAGTAGTAGAGTGTTAGCCTTGAAAAAGCTCAGGGAAGGTTCCCAGGCCCAGATTTCAAGCCCCAGGATTGGGGTGGGGGTAGGAGGGGAGAACAACCTTCCTTTTATTTTTGGCAGTGCTGAAGGTTGAACGCAGGGCTCCATGCATACTAGGCAAGCATTATACCACTGAGCTAGAGAAATCCCATCCCTGCACAGAAATGCTACCATGTTTTACCATGTGCCTGATGCAGCTCCTTAGCACTTTGCATATGCATGCACCTCCTTTTAACTCTCTCTAGGTTCACAGTCCAATACATTGTTGCAATTTGCTAATGCAATGCAGAGAATGGAAAATTCAGATAATATTCCAGTTATTGAACTCAGTCACAAAACCATTCGATTTTAATAGTTAGAGGTATACAATGTTTTAAAGTCTCTTATTTCTTATAACGTCCTTGTCAAGTAAGTGATTTATTATTAATTACTCCCACTTAACAGATGAAGAAAAAGAAAATTCTAGCCAGGTGCTGGTGACTCATGCCTCGTTAGAAGGCTAAGATATTAGGATTGAGGTGGAAAGCCAACTCAAGAAGAAAAGCCTGTGAGACTCTTACCTCTAATTAACTAGTAAAAAGATGGAACTAAAGAGGCGGCTTAAGTGGTGAAGTGTCAGTATCAACCCTGAATGAAAAAGTTGAGTGACAGCCAAAGATCCAGAGTTCAAGCCTCAGTACCAGCACCAAAAAAAAGAGTGGGAAGGATGAAGAGAGAATTCTGAAGGGTTGAATTACTAGCCCATGGGTACATGATTAGCTATCAGTTAAGGAGGCAAATTTGTATCCAGGGAGCCTAACTCCTGTTCATATAATTGTAAAGACTGTAAATAACTAAGCGTCCTGCTTTCATTGTCTACTGAGGGAACAACTGTAGCAAAACCAAATAGTAGCTATTAATATAAATTAATTTGAACACTAATCACAATTATACAATACAGAAAAGTCAGAAATGACAATATTAAAAAATTTCACTGAGGCTTTTTCTCTAAGCTACTATTACTTAGAAACTCACTATCAGTCAAACAATGTTCTTTCTAATAAAGCATTTTTTTTTTGCCAGTACTGGGGCTTGTACTCAGGACCTGAGCACCGTCCCTTAGCTTTTTTACCAAAGCTGGTACTCTACTATTTGAGCCACAGCTCCAGTTACAGTTTCTTGGTGGTTAGTTGGAAATAAGTCTCACAAATTTTTTCCTCCTGGGCTGGCTTTGAACCTCAGATCTCAACCTCCCAATTAACTAAGAGGGACTTGGCTTAAATGATAGAGTACTTGCCTAGGTAAGCACAAGTCCGTTTGTTTAAAACATTTTTTTAAAGTGTCTGAGATGGAAATGTTAGCTACTCTGATATGATCTGTATAATCATGATACTCCATAAATTTGTACAATTACAATAATAATTATTTTAAAAGGTTGTCTATAAAACTGTATCAAGACACTACTTTCATCCTCTTAATATTGAAAACATTACTTCAATCAACCAAATATGATGACCATAAATTCCTTTTGAAGGTCAGAGGGGACGAACTGTGCATTTCAGCCATAAGCTTACCTTAAAAAACAAAGGCAGAAGCTGAAGCTGTTCTGTGACTGCTGTAGAAAAGGATCTTCCTGCACTCGCCATAAGCCATTTCAATACTAGTTGGAAATAAATATGCATAATCAATATCACTGCTATCAATTTCAGTGTCAAATAGTCACTTGGAGAGCTCTTCAATGTTGTGAAAGGAATTGTAACAATTCATGATAAAGACTATCAAACAACCTAGGGTACTGACGTTACTCCACAAGAATATCCAAATTAGTAACAGCCCACTATCTATCTATACCAAGTATATATTGAAACTAGCTGTCAATAATTCTAAAGCAGTTAAAATCATTATTAAATATTTTATATTTAGAACCCTTGAAAAAGTTTTAGATACAAAACAATAGAATACTCTGACTAGCCAAACAATCTTGAAAAGTTGGAGGACACACAGATTCAAAAATTTACTACAAAGGTATAGTAATCAATAGTGTGGTTCTGATCTAATGACAGGCACATAAACCAATGGAGTAAGAATTCAGAAATAAATCCTCAATGAACAGTGCCAGACTATTCAATTGAGAAAGGACGCTCTTCAACAAATGGTACTGGAAAACTGAATGTCCATACACAAAATAATGAAGATAGACCCTTAGTGTACATCACATACAAAAAAAACCTCAAAAACAGAAATAGAACATCAAAACTTAAAAAAAAAACCTATGAAGAGAATATAAGGGGGAAACATTATGACATTTAATTTAGCAATCATTTCCAAATGAAACAACAAACTCAGATAAATTGGAGCTCAGCAAACTTGAACTTTACTCATCCAAGGACAAGTGTAAGGAGGTTTATGAACAGAAGGCTGAACACCAGTGGCTCTTGCTTATAATCCTAGCGAGTTAGGGAAGAATTTGGTTTAAGGACAGGCTGTGTTATGCTGAGAGAGGTAGCATACAACTGCCACCATCCCAGCTACAAAAAAAGCAGAGCATCTCTAGGCCAGTAACAACAACAAAAAAAACTCCACAGAAGTTCTTAAGACCTGATCTCAACAGAAAAGCTTGCACACAGTGGTATGTACATATCATTCCAGCTTTGAGGGAACATAAGAGGATGGAGTCCAGAATAGATTGGCAGGAACTAAGAACCTATCTTGAAAATAACCAGAGCAAAAAGGGCTACAGTTGTGGCTCAAGCAGTAAAGCATCTGCCTAGCTCACCTAAAGCTGAGTTCAAACCTCAGTATTGCTAAATTCAGGAAAGTTTAACTCATCTACTTAAAAAGGTACTGATGATATCCAAACAGGTAAAAGATATAACTCAACAGAACAAAACACCAAATTCAAAAATGTACAAAAAACTTGAGTTAACATTTTCCAAGAAAAATGTACAAATGGTCCATAGACAAACAAAAAATTGTTCAACATGCATTTTCATTAGGTAAATGTAAAAGATAAACTACAAGTTGCCTTTTTTTACACCCATTAGGATGGCTGCACTTAAGACTGAAAAAGACAGAAAAAAAGCAGAAAACGTGTGTTGACAAGGATGTGAGCCAATTGAAACACTCTGCATTTGATACCTAAAATGTAAAATATGCAGCTGATGTGGAAGTTTTGCAGCACTTCAAAATGTTCAACAAAGAAACATCAGATAGCCAAAAATTCCACTTCTGAATACATGATAACAAAAAAGAAATAACTATAAGCAGGGTCTCAATTTATATATATATACATAATACATATATATAAAAATATATATAAATATACATGTAAAGTTATATAGTAAGGTTCACAGTAGATTATTCAAAATAGCAGGTACAAATAATCCAAATGTACATAAAAAGATGAATACAAAATGAAAATATACTAGGAATCAATTTCATATTCATAGTATGGAAAGAAATTAAAATGTGAAATGAAATATGCCAATACTGAGAAGAGCTACCCAGAATGGACCAGTTCATTGATACAGAAAGTGGCATTGGGGGTGGGGCTGGGGCAAGTTGTTCAACACACAAAATTCTGCATGATGAATAGAATATGAATGTAGTTCTCAATAAACTGCACACTTAAAATATTTTATACCATGTGATATTCTACAATTGAAGAAACAAACTGGAGAAAAAAATCCCACAGGAGAATCAAAATACACATCTGTTTTCAAGAAAGTTTCTACAGACTTTAGTCACTCACTGGTTTTTAAGAGTTTAATGCCCTGAGTTCGTTCATCTTCTTCACCAATTCCATTTTCTTCCATAACATGGTTCTGAATTTCTTCATCCACATCCATGAGGGGTTTTAATTTCTCTAGAATTCGAGCAGTAAACTCAGGGATGCAAGGGGATGTTGTTGGCGCAGTATTTGGCAAAGAAACATCTATCATAAATATGTAGGTCAGCACACTGTTAAATAAAATACATAATGGTAAGAAGCCCACATAATAACTAAAACTGAGTTATTAAAACTGGGTCAAAAAAGTTATGGCCCAAACAAAGTAAATTTTCCCAAGACAATTTCCAAGATTGTCCTTGTATATAGGAGAATCTTTGTAATTTTGAGGTGCTAAATTTGTGTGTGGCCACTTCTCATCTCTGGCTTCTAGGCACACTGCCTTCCTAGGTTAACATTCAAGCTCTTGCTTTATTTTACTTCCCACAATACAATAATAAGCAGAATCTGAGGAAAAAGGTATAATGGAGTTCAGCAGCAACATCATCTGTATGTATTGCAAGATATTAAAAAAGAACTCAAGAGCTGGACACTGGTGGCTCACGCCTGTGATCCTAGCTACTCAGAAGGCTGAGATCTCAGTATCACAGTTCAAAGCCAGCCTGACAGGAAAGTCTATAAGACTCTTATCTCCAATAAACCACTCAAAAAACTGGAAGTAGCATTAATGGCTCAAATGGTAGAGCCTTGAGCTGAAGAGCTGAATGACAGTGCTTAGGCCCTGAGTTCAAGACCCATGACCAACAAAAAAAGAAAGAACTCAAGAGATTCCAGAGACAGACAGACAGAGAGAGACAGAGAAAGACAGAGAGAGAGAGAGAGAGAGAGAGAGAGAGAGAGAGAGAGAGAGAAAGAGAATGCCATACCTACCTCCCTATTCTTTCCCTGACATTTTTGTAAACCTGTGTGAGTTTGGGTTCCAAGTACTTCAGTAGTCTATGCAGTAGCTCAGGCACTCTCCATTCTTGCTGGGCAAGGCCGCCTTGCAGCACATAGAGTCGGCTAAAAGTAAAAGATAGATACACTGCATCACGTTCTCTTTCTACCTTTATGTACTCAATACAGATAAATAATGCCAACACTTACATAACTATTCCCGTTTTCTCATTTAAAAAAGCATCCAAAATTCAAAGTACAGTAAGCCACCTTATTCATTTGCTTATTAAATGTTATTTTAATCAAGCATAGTTAAAAAACAATTTAAAAAAAATCAAGGGCTGGAGTGATCGTAATAATGGCTTGAGTGATAGAACAACTGCCTAACAAATTGCCCTGAGTTCCAATTCTAGGATGGCCAAACGCAAAAACAATATAATTTCTTTTTTTTTTGTTGGGTCCGGTCGTGGGGCCTGAACTCTGGGCCTGGGCGCTGTCCCTCATCTCTTCAGCTCAAGGCTAGCGCTCTAACATTTGAGTCACAGCGCCGCTTCCGGCTTTTTTCTTTTTGCTTATGTGGTGCTGAGGAATCGAACCCAGGGCCTCATGCATGCAAGGCAAACGCTCTACCACTGAGCCACCTTCCCAGCCCCAAACAATGTAATTTCTAAAGCAAACATTCAACTTCTATGTGCACTTTATGTAGGTCAACTGATCCTGCTTTGTCATCAGTTGTGTTGAACAGTATGCTGGGTGTTTCCCTACGAATAGTATTGTGAAAATATGCCTCCACACGAGCCAGTAATGCCCCAAATGCAATTCAAGTTACATCATAATCTTCCAAGCTAAAAAAAGGCAAGTAATGTGATCAATTTAAATGATTAAGTGAACACTTTAAATTTGTTGGAAGGTGGCATGTCTTCAGCGTATAATGGGTGGTGTTATGGGAAAAATGAAATCAAGGAGCAGTAGTTTTACATGAGTTCTATCAATGTGGACTATATACCCATAGCTACTGAGAGTCTTCCAAAGAAAATTAAATAAAATGTAGACTTAACAACACTCAATGGCTTAATCTTTAAAAAGAGCCTGTACTCAAGCTTCCTCACTAGTTAACAAAGAACCTACTCTTTTAGTGGAAATCTCGAAAATTTCTATTACTCAGTAACTTTCTAGTTAGTATCTGACTCACAGTTTCCTAGTGCTGAGGACTGAGTTTATACACATTAGGCAAGCAACTCTACCAGTGAGCTACATCTGAGTCTCTCTTCTTTGTATGTTTCTTTCTTTTTACGTCTTACTGTCTTTAAGTAGATGTACAAAGGGTTATTGTTCTACATGTCCCTGTTTCTTAACAGGAAAAAGTGAAAAAATGAGATGTGATAAAGAAGCTAACACTGTCAAACTTCAAAGAGCAATCTCAATAAAAGATTTGGCAAGAGAAGGCTGGGAATTGTATACACTGGGATTTCTCAGGTTGTCTACATTTCTCCTAATTGTTCCCAAATAAGAAATAACAAAGTACCATACACTGTTATTGAGCTGAATCACACTGACTTCTAGGAGGAAGTAATTACTTCATCTGGTATTTTTAGGTGAATAAACAACTTATTTTCATATATGTGTTTGGATATTCTGTAGCTTGCCAGGCCTCACACTGGTGGTGATCCTCCTGTTACAGTCGCCTAAGTGCCAGGGTTACAGGCATGCATCACCAGTGACCAGCAACCCACTTCCAGTTATCACTTAGCTCAGACTCATCTGCATAAACCTCAAGGATTTTATTTACCATGCATCTACAAAGGATCCTCCTTCACCACTCAATGGTGATTCTAGTAACAGCTCAAAAAGCCAGTGAAGTTTCCGGGGATCTCTGCTTTCCTGTGTTGAAAACATAAGGTAAAAATTAAACAGATAACCTAAATTTCTATAAATACATCATACTGAGCTGTACTCAAAATGTTGAAGATATATATAAGTATTTAGGAAGAAAATCAAACTAAAAATGATGAGTAGTTACCAGCACTCATACTAACAGAATATTTTACTCAATGGTTTGTTCTTCTTAAAGTATATGAATTATGGATATAACTGGGTATCAAAGAGAACACTTAGAATGTTAATTATGTGGCTTTTACTGTATGTAACCTCAATTTCCAAATACATGGTTTGATTTATCACTTAACTAAAAAATGCATTATTATAGCACAGAAGATTATCACTCAAACTTACTGAAAGGGCCGAAAAGTACTATCTGCAATTATGTGAGATGACAATAGTTTGATCAAACTTCAAAATTAAAGAGGTATAATGTGGTGCCATGCATTTGAAGACAAGGCATCAACAATCTGAAAAAACACAGGAGATAAGGAAGCAGAACTTACACAGGATGTTGCTATACAAGTTCCCCAGTCATTGTAAGTTTCTACTGTAATGTTGGACAGAGCCGTTCTAAGAAGTGGGCACAGAAGCTCCCAAAGCTTCTCCACCTAGATAAATCAAACACTTAATGACACTCAGAACCTTTTTCTTAAAATATCTCTTCATAGAAAAGCACACAAACAACGTGACACAACATTCATTTTTTTTTTAGAGCACACAAAGAATCTAGGATTACCTCACTGGGCTGTATCATTACACATATTCAAATAAAAGCCAACTTTCTCCCAAAATATTCAGTCATTTTACACAAATCTTTATAAAATCTTTATTACTACTGAGAAGTTCTCTGTTTTAGAAAATGTATCTCAAAAGTGGTCTAATGCTGTAACAAGGGTATGTATGACATGTTTAAAATTCTTGTAGATCAATGTGCTTATATTTCTTCTAAACGCTGGCCAAAAATGATGTCTTCTCTAAAAAATTATTGCCCTCTTTTTGGGTATCTCAAACATTTGACTGGGTTATTTTTGGTCTAATGCACTTTGCTAGAAAAACTTAACATGAGGCTGGGAAGATGGCTCAGTGGTAGAATGCTTGCCTTGCATGCCTGAGGCCCTGGGTTCGATTCCTCAGCACCACATAAGCAAAAAGAAAAAAAGCCGGAAGTGGCGCTGTGGCTCAAGTGGTAGAGTGCTAGCCTTGAGCTGAAGAGCTGAGGGACAGCGCCCAGGCCCAGAGTTCAGGCCCCATGACTGGAACCCCTCCCCACAAAAAAAGAGTGAAGACATTATCTTTGCTTTTAAGAAGGTGTACCTAGCTGGTCCAGGTGGCTTACCCCTATAATCCTAGCTAGTCAGGAGGCTGAGCTCAGGCAAGCAAAGCCCACATGACTCTTATCTCCAATTAACCACCAGAAAAACGGGAAGTGGTGCTGTGTTTCAAGAGGTAGAGCACTAGCCTTGAGGTGAAGAGCTCAGGGACAGCTTACAGGCCCTGAGTTCAAGCCCCACAACCAACAAAACAAAACAAACTGTGCATCAAACAGAATTGATAGAAGAAACTAGCAGCTAACTATATAAAACAGTACCCGAAAGAGAGCTATATGAAATAGTATCTTCAGAGTAACTTTATGAGACCTATGAAACTGAAACTGGGAAAGCAGTACATCTGCAATCATATTTATTCAGCTATACTTGAAATACTTAATTGAAAAAAGACTTGAATTGTGGATAAAATAAACCAGTAACCAAAAATAAGATGACTCTGAAAGTATGGTGAAATGAATGCTTACCTCTGTCATATCCTCCCTGCTTCGGCCAAGCTTAGGTTGCTCTTCCACACCAGCATAAACAACCATATTCCTACATAGGAAAAGTTTATATTTGTAATATGAACAGAAAAGAAGTTGCAGCCTCACAGATAGAAAGTATTAGAAGGTACTTTTAATTAGAAGGAACTTTAATTAGAGGGAAAGTTCATGGATATGACAATATCAGTAATATTTTGTTTCAGCCTTAAAAAATTGACCAGATCACTATGTCCTAATGACATAAATTACTAGAGTCAGTGATGACAGACTAATATTTCTCTGGGCTGGTTTAGGCATGTACATTATAGATGAATACAATTTAGAGTAGCTATTAGCAGTTTCTTTAGCTGCAAAAAGATGGTATTAAGGCTGAGAATTTCAGTATTGCAGGAAATGAGGCAGAGCACTGGCAGGAGCAACAGAAAGAGAGGAAGAGGGAAGAAAATGCCTTCAAGTGCCTCTGAACATTCCCAGAAATCCAAGTATTAAAAAATAAATTTTATCAAATAATGTTTAATGAAAAGATGCATGGTAAGTTACAACTTACTTTGGCCAGGTATAGTATCCCCAGTGAGTTTTTTCAACAAAATAACTTGACTCCCATTCTTTTTTAGTTCTTGGTATACTTTTGCTATCATAATGTAACCAATGATTATCAGGCCTATCGCCAGCAAGAATTTGTGTGGGTTTAGGATATCCACCTAAGGAAAAGACAAGCAGATTTCACTGATCTAAAAGCATTTATCCAGCCAATATTCTCAATTTCCAATCAATGGTATTAATATAACTTCATAACTTTATTAGTAATCTACTAATAGTGTCTGTGAAAAAGACCACACAGAGATAGGGGTGTAGTTTCTACTAGAGCTCTGGCCTAGCATGTGGTTAATCCTCAGCACTGAAGAAAAACAAACAAACAAACAAACAAAAAAAAAAAAAACAGAAAACCAAAGTGACCACAAAGGAGCATGTTAAATCAGAGAAGCAAATGGATCTACCCAGTAAACAGCATTATGATAGTTATTTAGGGGAAGTAATGTGACAATATTCTTCATTCCTTTTAATTTTTTAATGAATTTCAAGCTTACAGAGCCCAAGAAATCACATCTCTCACATTTCCTATTTTGATCTGTGTATACACTTCAACACTGTCTCTCTACAAACACATCCAACACCATTTGCCAACACATGCGATTCACCATACACTATATAACAATATACACATGGCACAATTATTTACTGTAACCATATTAATGGAACAATATCCTTGTACTTCCAGGGTATTTGTATATGCTTTTAAAACAAAACACTCAATCACCTCTGTAACAATAAAAAATAAAAATTCTTTTAAAACACCCATAATTTTCAAACTCAGAGATGACATTGATTCTGTACAATTATTTTTAACAAATCATACACTAAAATTGTGTCAAATGTCCAACTGAATGTCCTTCATATCAGAAAGAATTTTTGTACTAGTCTATGACCCAATTTAGGAGGAAACATTAAGATTAAAAGGAAGCCGGGCGCCAGTAGCTCACATCTGTAATCCTAGCTACTCAGAAGGCTGAGATCTGAGAATCGCGGTTCAAAGCCAGTCCGGGCAGGAAAGACCATGAGACTCTATCTCCAATAAACCACTAGAAAACCGGAAGTGGCACTGTAGCTCAAGTGGTAGAGCGCTCGCCTTGAGCTGAAGAGCTGAGGGACAGCGCCCAGGC